TCAAAAGTAGCAGTAGTTGTAGCTGACTACATATTTTTGAAGTAGCTGTAGTTATAGCGAACTACAAAAATTTTGTAGTCAACCCACCCTTGGTAAAATACCAGGAGAATTTTGGTGTTTTGACCGGAGGCCATTCATCAGGACATTGCCCATTTGTCAGGACATTGCCCAAACACGGAAGGAAAATGCCTTTGGTACGATGTTTTCTTGCACTCCCCCCTGAACAAGAGCCGCCCTCAAATAGGCTTGGGCGGTTTACCAGGAGGGCCCCCTATACCTCTTCACAATATGCTTTCACGTAAAAATATTTTGCCTTTTCACGAGTCACAGATTAAGAAAATCATCGATCACGTTTCACGGCTAAGTAAAATAAGCCCTTCATGCAAAAAGTATAGGGGGCCCTCTACCAGCATTTCGGGGGTTTTTCGGTTTTATTTTCAAACAGTTTTCCTTCGGTTTAACTTTTACAAAAACCGGAAAACCGTCATTACGTAGTTGTTTACTGTTTGTCGCCTGAAACTCGATCTTAATTCTCAAAACATGACACTAATTAAACTCAATTACACAACACTAAATAAAAATTCTATTCTTTTTCCGTAAAGTCGGTAAGAAATGAAGAGGTATAAGTTTTCAAATGCGTTCTTGACCCTTTTATTTAAAAACTGAAGTCGTTTTAGGTTACCTTTACACAATTTTGCATTTTGACGTGTACTGTTCGTTTGCTTGTGTCAAAAAAATACCACAATTCCTCCTCATTCAGTTGAAGTAAAAAGTAAAGGGTTTTCCCTTTAAACGGTTTTCTGGTTTTACCGGTTTAGAATCAGATGGTTTTTGGTTTTGATTTTAAACAAAACTGCCCAAGCCTACCCTCAAATAAGCGCAACATCGCTAACACTAAACATTTAAAGAGTTCTGTCATGCTTAAATTAAACAAGTAAGTACAGTATCGACATCACTCAGGCTAAAACAAAATGTCCCCTATGTAACATTGTCCTGATCTCATGAAAATTTTATTTATTCTGCACAGAATGTGAAGATGATCTGTGTATATTTGTGTGTGGAACATGCAAACGATATTTCACACAACTCTCGGCGTTCTCGCAACACAAGAAGGAAAAGTCGTGCAAGAAGAAATCTCCTGGTGGGGTTTTATTAAAAGACAGCGCAGTTCGACAACCTTCTACACAAGATACTTCTGAGGTAACTTGTCCATCAGTTCACTATCATGACATATTCCGTAAAAAGTGCTGAAGAATTGACGAAAATGTCTGTACGTAGAGTACCACTGCACTCTACAGCAATTTTTGCTGTGAAGTACAAACATTAAGCAGTTTTGTGCAGGTTTTTACTGTATTCATTTTGATTTTGTTGAAGGAAAATGATGCAGATGAGAATGTGGCCGAGACTACATCAAGCTTGAGCGAAGCATTGAACGATGGTGAAGGTAGGCTGAGATATTTGTGAAAAACAGGTGTCGGTAACCGTCCCAAAGCTTGGACTACACACACAGCATTAGATTTGGGAAAGGGTGAAGTCTGATAAATTTAGGAACTCGTAATAACTTGGCAAGACTTTCCCTATGGCTATGGGCTGGTTTTGTCACAGATTATTTCTCACAGATTATTTCTCAAATGAATATAACTGGAACGCTACCTTCAGATAAACTGCCTATCTTTTTCTTGAGGCCAAATCTTACTGCGTGTCTGGAGGTTCTAAGATCACACGTGTTTATGACATGATTGACTGATAGAGTGCTCTTCATTTGCATGAAAAGACTGGGCATGACAACAAGAATTTGGCTTCACATTTCCGGTTGGAGGTAGCATTCCAGTTCTATTCAGTTCAATGGTGCATCACTATTCACAACTGTAGATAACTCACATGCTTAGTTACTATTGTTCTGGTTTACAGAAACATAGAATAAAACAAAAGTAACAAAGCATTAGAATTATGTATAAGAGTTATTCACTCACGTGGATAATTCTAAAGCTTAGTTACCTTTGTTCTACATGTTTTTTGTGTCTCAAAAACAAAAACTGACCGTCCAGAAATTCACGTTATTGTTATACTGTAATTTGAATGCCTGAGTCCTATAGTAAACCCATAGGTGCGTAAATACAATAGACCTTTCCCCTTATAACCAAAATTTTGATCTAGGCAAGTCTAGACAAATATTTCATCACAGCTTGAAAGAGCATCACAAAATTAGTAATATTCCAAAGTTTCGTTGCGAAATGTTGTAAAATGAGGAAAATAGAG